GAAGTTTGAGTACCGCCCCGTCTCAATAATAATATTATGTGCTCGTGTTTGGCGACAACAAATATAATTCGCCTTATCGGTTCATCGCATCGGAAACAAAAAAGCGAAAGAATTTGGAACGATATTTTTGCAATTATTTCATTCAGTTGTATACAGTCAGTGTCAGTCGGTAGTGGATAGTGGTGTCTGTTGCGTGGCTCAAACGAAATAAAAAATGGCACATGTTTATGCGGATCGGTTTCCCAATACAACCAACCCCTCGTGCCTTTGTTAATGTAGTACAACGGGTTCGTGAATCATTTGATTTAAGACCTCACATATGGACGGCATGCCGGTGCTCCAAGACCTCACGATCAAATACAGGTCCGCACTGAAATACTTGTCGAGAGGATACTTTATAAAACAAGGTAAATTTTTTTTTTATGTTTTTTTTATTTTGGTTTATCTTCCTTCTACAATCATTATCTGAAAATTAATGACTCAACTTCAAAGTCACCCTGTATGTATAAAAAGCGATACAAACCTCCTGGGTGTCACATACGATAGCTGTCTTAAGGCAGGCTGCCTACTATGGGCTTGCGCATTCTATTATGTCTTATGAAATAACAATTTGGGGTAATAGTCCCGCAGCGAATAGAATTTTTATCATACAATAGAGGATAATAAGAACAATGTTTAAAATGAAGAGAGTCATGTAGAAGTATAATTAAAGTCAACCGCTTATTAACATTATCGGGAATTTATATCTATAACACTCTGCTATTTATCTTTAACCATGAAGAAAAGTTTGAAAAAACGTCTTCAACCACAGTTACAATACTCCCAAAAATCAGAAATACATCTACCCATCACATAAGCTAAATTCTACCGACAAATGTCCACATTACTCTGCACTGAAACTTTACAATGCTTTACCTCGACATCTTCAATCCATTTCAGCATTCACTATATTCAAAAAAAAGCATTCATAAATATACAGGGTGTCCGCAAAGTTGGAGTTTTCCTTTACACGACGTGTAGATCTTGAAAACATAAGCAATTTTTCTTAGTACCATATACACCAATGTCTTAAAGGAACCGAGATAAAGGGCTCTGCAACATCAAAAATATCTGAATACCGTCCTGTAGCCGCGACCCGCCGCGATATCCCCGACTGGTACAAGGTCTCAACCCGACGGCAGAACTGGGTCGGGGTCAGTGTGTCAGGTTAGTATGCAACCTTCAACCGACGGTTACGGTCACGCATGTAGAGGTAATCGCGTAGACGAGAATCGCTCAACAAGCACTAGAGACGTGGCTAGAGAAGTGCAAGTATCAAAAACTAAAGTGTGGCAAACGCTGCGTGAAGAGAGGCTGTATCCGTTTCACGTCCAACGTGTACAAGCCCTTCAACTTGACGATTTTCCAGCAAGAGTGCGGTTTTGTGAGTGGTTGTTGCATCAACATGACAATAATCCGAACTTTTTGAAGTGCATATTGGTGACAGACGAATCTACGTTCACGCGTAATGGGGTGAATAACTTTCGCAACACTCATGTTTGGTCAGTAGAAAATCCGCACGCTGTCCGTCGGGCACATTTTCAACAAACATTTTCGGTGAATGTTTGGGCTGGCATGGTGAACGGTATGCTCATTGGACCATTTATTCTCCCAAATCGATTGGACGGGATGCAATACCTAGACTTCTCACGCAACATTTTGCCTTCCTTGTTAGAAGGTGTGCCATTAAGTGTAAGACAATCAATGTGGTTTCTGCGTCTGCTCGGTAGCGCTTCAGCTGATTTCATTTTCTGTTGGAGCGATTTCGGGCAGAGACGTACTTAGCCCTTCTCGTCAACTGGAGAGTGAGTACTTTTTCCTTTATTTTTTTTACTTGGTCGCCCTCGTTTCACTACACATTACCTTTGTTATTTCAAGGGTAGTTGTTTCTGAAAAGGAAAACCCCAACTTTGCGGACACCCTGTATATGCGAAATGGAACCATATAGTATTGAAGAGATCTGTGCTCTAGTGAAACGATAAGCATCAATATCGCTGTGTTATATGTTGTCTATGTATGTTTGATTTTGTATGTACTTAAAAAAAGTGTATTTTATTTATACTGTATAGTATCACAATGACGTGTTATCTCTGTTATAAATTTCTTTGTTTTTTGTTAACTGAGAAACCAATAAATTTCTATTCTATTTATTCTATGAATGAGAAATGAATATAATAAACACTTCTCCAGTGTCTAATATCAAGCTTAAAAGACGATGCTTATACGAAAGATTTTTTTTTCAGTAACACATTCCACATTCTGATAACCATAGTCGACTTTAGTTTTAAATACGCCTAGTTTAACCTGGACCGTTGGTCAGTCCGCGATTTGACACCATTTATAAATACATGGTATTCTATTAAAGGTCTTGAAACAAAGGGCATCCTTCACTAAAACGTTCTATAAGATACCTGGCATCCATCCAAGCTTTCAATCAGTACCTAATGTGTGTGTGTGTGAAAGAGACGTATGGCTTCCATATTCCGTTAGGAAAACACGATCCATAACAAATATTTACCAGAAAGATGCTTCACCTCCACTTTTTTATGCTTTTTTGGTGGAAAGTGGAGTGGATTCAATTACCATTCAATTAAAGCTTAATTGAAGATTTGTCATTTCGAAGTGTTTACGTACAATTGGATACAAAGTTATATTGTCCTGTGTACATTACTGACTTGCCTGCCTGTCCGTTGTCACTTTTTTATTCCGTAATATCAGTAATTTGTGCACATCAATCTTGTTGCAATTTGTAAACGGATATATTGAGAGTGTCATCAATAAAGTACAAAACTGTATTGCGGAAACGTTTTATGTTTATTTGAGGTTTAAATTGGTTTTATCGTGGTAAAGAAAAATATAGTGGTTTTAAAGTTACCTTGTACATGTACATACAGGATGTTTCACGACTTATCCGACACATTTTAACCACATCTGCACTGTTACGTAAGAAGTTGATTTCTCAAAAAATGCAATAAAAGTCCTACAGAAATCGAGATAATAAAAAAATTTCGTCTTTAATTTTAAAACGCGTTGTGGGCGAACCCGACCCGACCCCCATCCACTCCACGTTTGTGGCGTCAATCTCCACTAGCACGTGCACGTAATACAATGGAACTGAATGTTTCGTGATGTGGTATGTGCCTATTCGGAAATGCATACAAACGAGAAGCCGCTTGCGAATTTTCTTCATTCAGATCACCCACGATATAGATTAAACCTTATTGACACGTTCTCATCAGTATAAAAAATAACAAATTCCTGGTATTTTGTTTTCGTCAGTTGTTTGGTACAACATTTGCTACAATATATACTAAGTGACATATAAATCCGAACACCCAGTTTAAATGGTTTTATTTTAATAAAATTTTGTCTAAATACTTAATGAAGCATAATAAGTAAATGATAAAAATTTCAAAATGATTGCACTGCTTTAAAGCCCTTTGATCTTTAATAATGTGTGGATGCAGCCTGATGTGCTACGCATTCTCCAACGCGCCTAGACATGCTTCTGATCAGGTGGTCAGTGGTCAATGTCCTCCTGTGGTATCTCCTTCCAGGCAACCACCAACTCCTCTCGAAGTGCTTCTAGAGTCTGAGGAGGACGTTGCAAATTGAGCAATCTCCTACCCATCATATCCCACACGTGCTCAATTGAGGATCGGTCGGGAGATCTTGGTGGCCATGGTAACAATGTGACATCATTATGTTGAAAGAAGTCTATTGTGACTCTTGCAACATTATCTTGTTGGAAAGTTGGATCTGCCAGGGTGTCAAGACAGGGTAAAAGATGGGGTTCTAGAACTTCGTGGATATAACGCTGTGTGTTCATGTTACCTCTGATGAAGATTAAAGGTGACCTGGAACCATAAGCTATAGCAGCCCAAACCATAACTCCAACAGTGTGATGAACATGTCTTTCAACAAAAAACTGTGTATTCCTCCTTTCACCACGTCGCCTTCTAACCCTGGCACGACCATCGTGCATGCCTAAACAAAATCGAGACTCGTCACTAAAGACAATACTATTCCATTCCTGATCCCAGAGTGACCGTTGTCTGCACCACTCAAGGCGATAACGTCGGTGTTCTCGAGTTAAAGGGAGGACCCAGTGAGGCTGGGATGAAAACAAGTCAAAACTTCTCTTTCGTCGGTAAACATTTCGCATGCCAATAGGTCTTCCGTGTTCTGCAAACCATTCATTTGCAATGGACCTGGTAGTGGAGAAACGGTCCCTTAAGGCCAATAATCTTAGGCGGCGATCTTCACGGTCTGTTGTTCTACGGCGGCGTCCAGTGCCCCTTGCTCTTTGCGTACGGCCTTCTCGAAACCATGCCTGACAACACCTAACCACAGTGTCTACACTACTTTGCACTCTAACTGCAATTGCCCGAAAAGAAAGTCCAGCTTCCCGAAGTCCCACTATACGGCCCCTATCAAACTCACTAAGTTGACGAAATCGTTCAGGTCTCCGTACTCTAGGCATCGTAACCGATCGTAAAGGATGTCAAGAACCAAAATCCGCCAACGTCGATTCTTTACTGCGGCTGAAATATTCATTTTTAGAGCATTAGTGAATTAAAAAAAAGCAGAATGTCCAACTGATAAGGCTGAAAATTTTTCACTTGTTATTTACAGTAAGATAAATACATTCACCAACTTTTATTAAAATAAAACCATTTAAACTGGGTGTTCGGATTTATTGTATGTCCCTTAGTATACTATCTGTTTATATTTTTTAAAATATTTTCTTAGCACTTTCCTTTTCCTTTTCAAGATTCAGGAAACGAATAAACGTGTTTGTCCCACATTCGTATTTATAGAGTGACGAATTGAACAAGTCAGTGCAGGGTAGCGAAGCTCTGAGACTGCGACTCTCAGGTTTTTACAAGTTCAAAATGTATTGCGACCACAAAGCGAATACCAATTTACACAATTTTATAAACATATATAATAAAGTTTTATAAATAATGTATATGTTTTGATATTATAAGATAGTATGATGTAAGTAAATAGGTACTATCAGTGTATGTGTTGAGATGCACTATCGTGGACCCCTATATTCATTTCATGGACCCCCAAATTTTTTTTCGCCGACGTAGACCCCTTGCAGGTTGTCATATACCCCTAGGGGTCGATATAGACCACTTTGGGAATCAATGCTTTAAACTAAGAGAATAGCTTTTCGATAGTTTGGACATTCAAAGCAAAACCGTTTATATTTTTCTATGCTTAATTGAAATGAATTGCTCATTATCATTGCTACTTTTCTCTTCTATTAGGTCGCATAGTAGGAATTTCATTATGATGTTTTGTCTCCTGTCCTCCATCATAACTTTTACTTTGGTAATTTTGGTGTATGGCAGATTATACATTTTGAAAGTAGAATTAAAAACCCTGAGAGGATATTGATACAAGCTGCACGATTCCAATTCCTTTGTTACAGTTGTTTGAATGATTATTAATATCCTTGACACTCTTAGGTATTTATTATATTTTTTGTTCCAGCAAACTGTCTTCCAATATTCATAGCTAACGACGACCTCCGCTTTAGGCGAATCAAGTGCAATGCTACAGTACTGTGTTACTGTGCAGGAATCAATTCTACGAACCTCTCCGTACTTATGACTACTGTAAGTAAATTCGATGAAAAATATTAACACATTATTGATCCACAGCTCCAAACAACTACTAAAGCCTATTCTAACCTCATTTACTCCGCGTTAGAACAAACATGAGCTTGTCGCTGCCTGCTCAGGCATCTTTAACCCGCTCGCTACTTTTTTCTCATAGTCACACATTTTTTTGTGAAATACTGTTGAGTCAGACAGACGTAACCTACAATCTGCAACCATGAAGGCAGTTAGGGACAACTGGTTGCCTATATTCAGTTTTCTACTTCTCTGTGACTGAGTTGTAATTCCAAATAGCAATCGCATTATTTTGCATTGCCTATTGATATTTGCATAAATCATCCAAATCGTTCCATTTTATCATAAAGAGCAATTACGGCCATCAAGGAAAAATCTTTCTGACATCGACGTCGATGAACTGTTACAGCCTAATTGGTTAAGGCTTTCGCGGCCAGTTGTTAAACGGCTGTCTTGATACGGGTCTAAAGGCTGTCGTCGGTTGGAATGTGTTTACGCACCATACCATAGCCCGAGCTACGGCGTGTGTGGGACTCCAGGTTGTCTTGAGGAGACCACCTAATATCCACTAAACCCTAACCTCCGCGTGGCCCGACTCAGTCTCGGTAGGCCATGTGTTGTGCGTGACCTGCGGTCTGCTACAACGTCTCCTCATGTGTTTCAGTCGCTGGGAACGCCGGGTTGGTTCCCTTTACCTCGCACATTCTATCGATGTCGTTAAGCGATCATCGATAGAGGGTCTGCTAGGTTCTCTTGAAACTCTTATTTTCGAAAAAATCAAGAGTTTCAAGTCCTCTTTCCAATATATTGTTCCTGGTCCTGGTCCTGATGGGTCCTGGTCCTGGTGGGTCCTGGTCCCGGTGGGTCCTGGTCCCGGTGGGTCCTGGTCCCGGTGGTTCCTGGTCCCGGTGGTTCCTGGTCCTCTGCATCCACGCCGTGGGGGGGGGGGGAGCAACCGCGGGTTCTCCTAGTCTCTTAGTCAAGGTTTCAGTTAGCGGGTGCCAACTGAGACCTTGGTCTAGGGTATCTGGTTCTGCGGTTGCGAGGCCTCTCGACCGGATCGTAGTCCATGAGGAATCTTAGCTGCTCGTTCGGGTGGTCCTGAGCTTTCTGGAAGGTCTTCTCCGCTTTTTTCCTCATGTACTCGTGAATGGTGTCCCAGTGCAGGTCCCTACGCAAGGTTGAGTTTCTTACGTAGGATGGTGCACTGGTGGTGATCCGGAGTAGCTTCATCTCTAGAGCAGCAAGTCGCTTGCGGTAGCTGGGGGCAGCGTACCCCCAGACCGCGGAGGCGTAAGCGAGCTGAGGTCTGGCGATGGACTTGATCAGCCGTAGCTTGGTCGCTAGCGGCATCCGGCTGTGTCTACCCAGTAATGGGTAGAGTTGAGCCATGGCTGCTCTGGTCTTTGCGATGACAGCTTCTATGTGGTCTTTCCAGGTGAGGGACTTGTCAAATGCGATCCCCAGATATTTGACTTTGTCGCTCCACTGGATGTCTTCGTCGAAGATGGTTGCTTCGAGATGTCTTGCAATCCTTCTTCGTTGGATGAAGATTGCCTGCGTCTTCTGGACGTTGATGCGGATTTTCCATTTCACGCACCAGTCCTGGATGTGATCCAGTTCATCCTGTAGTCTCCTATGGATGATCTCGGGTCGTCGATGCTTGGCGGCTATAGCAGTGTCGTCTGCATATAGGGCCAGCATTGTGTCAGCTGTCTTCGGTACATCGTGAGTATAGATGTTATAGAGCAGGGGGGCTAAGGCTGACCCCTGGGGCACGCCTGCTTCTAGCTGTCGTCTTGTTGAATGGCATGTACCAATCTTCACCGTGAACAATCTTTGTGTTAGATAGCTCTGGATCAGTTGGTACATGTTTGCATCGATTCCGGCGGCTTCCATTTTGGCGATGAGTCCATCGTGCCAAACTCGATCGAAGGCTCGTTCCACGTCCAGCAGGACGAGGCCGGTTGCCTCCTGGAGATTGAAGCCGCTGGTGATGTTTTCTGTCAGTCGTAGCGCTTGGAGTTCCGTGTTGTGGGAGGATCTGAAGCCGAATTGCTCTGGGGGGAGAAGTTGCAGTTCTTCTGCCTGTTTCTCTAGTCGAACGGCGATAGCCTTTTCGACTACTTTGCCCATCGAGGAAACCAGGCTGATGGGCCGGTAGTTCTGGGGCAACTTCCGGTCCTTGCCTGGCTTGGTGAGCATTATAACCTGGGCTTCCCGCCACCGCCGCGGGAAGTGGTTAAGTCTCAGAGCCACGTCTCCTACCTTCCGGTATAAATACAACCTGCGCAAGAGAAATCGTCAGTCTACATCCAGCAACGGGTAATGGAAGGACCTCTGAAGAAGCTTGCCACTCGTGCTAGCGAAACGTTAGGAAGAAATTCGAACCGACGACGGTATTTAGACCCGAATCAAGACAGCAGTTTGTTACAGCCTACTTTGAAATGAAAATTTAAATACTCCCTTGTACGTTCTTCAAGGAAGCGACATTGATTCACCGTTTCCAAGGAGAGATCCATTGTTTCCAAAAAGCCTCAAGCCTCTCGGGGTCCATAAATTTGACTCTCAATAATGATGATGAGTTTGCAATGCTCTCAGTGTTTATGCAGTAAATGAAGGAAGAATAACTGTTTATTTATTATAGTGGCCTTCTATGGTCAGTTTAGTCAGAGATATTATTTCACAAGTAGATCACTTATAATTTTATTGCGCGTGACAGCAAACGTTCTATGAACTTGAAAAGTTTTTTTGCTAAACATGTTTATCATTATTTTATAGCAATTGGTGGAAAACAAATGCGACGGGGGAGAATGGTCGTGTACTCCTCCAAAAGAATGCTGCAAACAGGGCTGCTGTTTCCTCTTTTCATCGTCAATTTTCAAAGGCTCATCGGCGACGCCGTCTTTTCAATCAGGGTCTGTCTTCAACCCACTCTTCTTAGGACATTGGTAAGTTTTTTTTTATGACACTTCTGCTACTTTCTGCAATATTATGCAGTTGGATTCTTCGCGGTGGAGCAGTAGTTTGCTGCTTCTACAAGAAACTATACTAAGTGATATATAAATCCGAACACCCAGTTTAAATGGTTTTATTTTAATAAAAGTTGGTGAATGTATTTATCTTACTGTAAATAACAAGTGAAAAAATTTTCAGCCTTATCAGTTGGACATTCCGGTTTTTATACTGCTTTTTTTAATTCACTAACGCTCTAAAAATGAATATTTCAGCCGCAGTAAAGAATCAACGTTGGCGGATTTTGGTTCTTGACATCCTTTACGATCGGTTACGATGCCTAGAGTACGGAGACCTGTACGATTTCGTCAACTTAGTGAGTTTGATAGGGGCCGTATAGTGGGACTTCGGGAAGCTGGACTTTCTTTTCGGGCAATTGCAGTTAGAGTGCAAAGAAGTGTAGACACTGTGGTTAGGTGTTGTCAGGCATGGCTTCGAGAAGGCCGTACGCAAAGAGCAAGGGGCACTGGACGCCGCCGTAGAACAACAGACCGTGAAGATCGCCGCCTAAGATTATTGGCCTTAAGGGACCGTTTCTCCACTACCAGGTCCACTGCAAATGGATGGTTTGCAGAACACGGAAGACCTATTGGCATGCGAAGTGTTTACCGACGAATGAGAAGTTTTGGCTTGTTTTCATACCGACCACACTGGGTCCTCCCTTTAACTCGAGAACACCGACGTAATCGCCTTGAGTGGTGCAGACAACGGTCACTCTGGGATCAAGAATGGAACAGTATTGTCTTTAGTGACGAGTCTCGATTTTGTTTAGGCATGCACGATGGTCGTGCCAGGGTTAGAAGGCGACGTGGTGAAAGGAGGAATCCACTGTTTTTTGTTAAAGACATGCTCATCACATTGTTGGAATTATGGTTTGGGGTGCTATAGCTTATGGTTCCAGGTCACCTTTAATCTTCATCAGAGGTAACATGAACGCACAGCGTTATATCCACGAAGTTCTAGAACCCCATCTTTTACCCTATCTTGACACCCTGGCAGATCCAACTTTCCAACAAGATAATGCCCGACCACATGTTGCAAGAGTCACAATAGACTTCTTTCAACCTAATGATGTCACATTGTTACCATGGCCACCAAGATCTCCCGACTTATCTCCAATTGAGCACGTGTGGGATATGATGGGTAGGAGATTGCTCAATTTGCAACGTCCTCCTCGGACTCTAGAAGCACTTCGAGAGGAGTTGGTGGTTGCCTGGAATGAGATACGACAGGAGGACATTGACCACCTGATCAGAAGCATGCCTAGGCGCGTTGGAGAATGCGTAGCATATCAGGGTGCATCCACACATTATTAAAGGTCAAAGGGCTTTAAAGCAGTGCAATCATTTTGAAATTTTTATCATTTACTTATTATGCTTCATTAAGTACTTATACAAAATTTTATTAAAATAAAACCATTTAAACTGGGTGTTCGGATTTATATGTCACTTAGTATGTATTCTTTTTATGATCACGCTTCTTCATACATACATAAAACGGTACTTTTGATAGTAAAGCTCCTGAAACTATGGCTTTGGCCTAGGACGTTGAGTCCTTTGAATAATTTTATTGTTTCAAAGTGATACAGGGTGAAACCTGGAGTAGCGGTTATGTAACATTGAAAACAGGACCTATTTAAATTCACTGTATTTCCTTCTAAATGAATTCTAGATCAGGGAAGTGGCATTCGCAGCCTTTTTAGACATTGAAGGTGCCTTTAATTACACTACAACCAACTCCACCAGACATGATTTGGTTAGGCACCGGATTGGCTCAATTATGGTTGATTGTGTTCCATGAACCCTGGAGGGTCGCTGGCCTTCTTTGGGACTAGACTAGTTCTATCCCAACTAGTAAAATATCTAGGAATCCTCTTGGACTGTAGACAGAATTGGAGAAGGCATGTTGAGTGCAAAGTTAACATGGTTCGTAATTCATTGCGGGCTTGCAGAAGTGTTGTTGGAGAGAGGTGGGGGCTTAAACCCTCTAATTTCGTCATTCTGTCATTCCGAATGGACTGGAAAATACCATTTTATTTTTTTAGTTATAGTTACCTACAGAATGGGACCATGCATTTCCAGTATCTATTTCGGAGAACAAAGATTATTTCTCATCTATGCTAGAAGTCCAACTAACCGCTATTTTTACGTCACAGCTTTGATGAGAAATTCCACGTCTGAACTTATTATACAGGGTGTCCCGAAAAAAGTGTGCAATATTCTACCAGCGATTTCTATAGCTTAAAATAGGAAGAAAAGTTTATATAAACATAGGTCGACAAACGTCCCCTAAGGGCGCTACGGTCTTTTAAAGGGGCTCCCCTGCAGATGGTTTCTCCTTAATATTTCCGAAACGTGTTGAGATAAAGACATAAAATTTGGTATTCTAGCCTAGTTTTTTATGCTAGATTTAAAAATATTAACAATTTTAGACAGTTTTGTTTGGAAGCGTATGTAATAGGGACGGACTCGGGTTATTTTAGCCCCAAAATTTTTATGTGATTCTATTTTTGAAATTCAATTTTAGAATTTGAAAATTTAGGATTTTCTACATAAAAAAGGTACTCTTATTGAATCGATGAATTGTGCCATTTTTGAATAAAATCAAACTAAAAAATTTGTCACATGATAGGAAATGTACTGCGAATTTAAATGAATTGTTGATTATACATAGTTAGCCATGACTGCAAACAAAAGTTGTTTTGATTTGTTATGACTTATTTTGACGTTAAGCTGACATTGTTAGCAGTATAAAATTATAAAATTAAAATCAAAAATTTTATTAAATCGATTTAAAATATGAGTCAATATTTACTAGGAATGGTGCTTTTAATTTCCATAATATGCATCACTGGTTAGATGAAAATCCAAAAGTTGTTCGACGTACAAATTTCCAACATAGATTTTCATTGAACTTATGGGCAGGAGTAATTGGGAATCAAGTAATTGGGCCTATTGTACTTCCCAATCGTCTTAATTCAGAGGTGTATCTGAACTTTCTTCAGAATGAGCTCATGGATATAATACCATTGGATGTGCGCCAGCAGTTTCAAGAAAATATGTTTTTTCAACATGATGCCGCCCCTGCACATTTTGGACGCAATGTTCGAAATTGGATGAATGTCAATTTTCCAGAGACGTGGTTAGGCCGAGGAGGTCCTATAGCGTGGCCGCCACGTTCACCTGACCTAAATCCATTGGATTTCTATTTTTGGGGGTCATTAAAAGACCTAGTTACACGACTGAAGTAAATACTCAAGAATATTTACTTCAAAGAATCCATCAGGCTGAAAATGAAATAAGAAGAAAAAGGCTTTCTACTTTTCGGGCTACGCAATCCTTAGTCGTCGACCGAGACTCTGTATCCTACAAAATGGGAATTTATTTGAACACTTATTGTAAAGCTAGCACGTATATCCAACTGTATGTCTTCTTTTTTAAACAAATTTCAGTTTCCTTCGTATAAAAAATTTATTTCTTTTATTTTTGCCTAAATGTTAGCTATGTTGCAATAGAAATATGTATTTATGTAATATTTATTGATTATTAAATTAGCTTTTTAGCTAATTATTCAACGATTCATTTAAATTCGCAGTACATTTCCCATCATGTGACAAATTTTTTAGTTTGATTTTATTCAAAAATGGTACAATTTATCGATATTCGATAAGAGTACCTTTTTTATGTAGAAGACCCTAAATTTTCAAATTCTAAAATTCAATTTCAAAAATAGAATCACACAAAAATTTTGGGGCTAAAACAACCTGAGTCCGTCCCTGTTAGATACGCTTCCAAACAAAACTGTCTCAAATTGTTAATATTTTTACATCCAGCATAAAAAGCTAGGCTAGAATACCAAATTTTATGTCTTTATCTCAACACGTTTCGGAAATATTAAGGAAAAACCATCTACAGGAGAGCCCCTTTAACAGACCGTAGCGCCCTTAGGAGACGTTTGTCGACCTATGTTTATATAAACTTTTCTTCCTATTTTAAGCTCTAGAAACCGCTGGTAGAATATTGCACACTTTTTTCGGGACACCCTCTATGTACAGGGTGTAAAGTTAGTAGTAGATCAACGGAAGGCAGATGAAAGAGGGCTTCAAAACCTATAGTATGAACCCCTATATGTGTGATCTGAAATTTTATATCTTAGGAAATATTCGCAATTTTGTCAAATTTCCCAAAAAAGGGATAATGAACTTACAATCGCAATTACAACTAAACCAGGTAATGCTCGAGCAGCTGCTCGCATGTATCGGGAGTATGTGGTTATAAGAGGAGGACCACAACCGGCCGTATATCCCGACTACCGTGTTTTTCTACGCGTCCATAATGCGTATATGCAGGGCCGCATACTAGGCACTCACCGTCAGCTAGGAGCGCTGAGGATACGCCCAGAAGAAATAGAAGATATGATGTTGTTTTTGAGTTCTTGGAGGGTGGCTGGTTTGTTGACGTAGACTTTGCTTTTCAAATATCCCCATAAAAAGAAGTCCAATGGAGTCAAATGGCACGATCTTGGTGGCCATGGCACATTTCCTCTGCGCGAAATCACGCGATCACCGAAGAAGGACTGCAATCGATGGATATTGACGTTGGTTGTGTGGCATGTTGCACCGTCTTGCTGGAAATAAACATCGTCCATATCCATTCCTTCAAGTTGCGGCAAAAAATAGTCCTCTATCATCACGTGATATCGCTCAGAATTGACGGTAACGGCGTCCCCGGCCGCATTTTCGAAAAAGTAAGGTCCGATGATGCCTTTTGACCACAATGCACACCACAGTCACTTTTTGAGGATGCATCGGCTGCTCTTGATACTTACTTACTACATTCAAAGTGAAATGCGCTTCGTCGCTGAACATGTTTTTTGATGAAAAATTGGCATCAATTTGGCGGTGTTCAAGGAGCCAATCTGAGAACGTTCGGTGCGAAAAATGGTCGGCCCGACGCAGCTCTTGCGTCAATTGGATCTTGTAGGCGTGTACATTCAAATCCTTGTGGAGAATGCGGAGCAAACTGGTTCTCGAAATGCCCAATTCTTGGGATCGACGTGTTGTTGATTGTTTCGGATCGTCTCTCACACTCTCCTTCACAACAGCAATATTTTCCGGTGTGCGAACGCTCCTTGGCCGGCCAGAGCCTTGCAGATTTGCCACAGAACCTGTTGCCTCGAATTTACGCACCAGACGACCGATGGTTGTTTCGTTTGGGGGGTTGTTGCGACCGAAATGTTCACGAAGCGCGCGAAACGTGTTTTTTATTTTTGCACCATTTTTGTAGTGCTCTTGAATAACTTTAATGCGGTCTTCAATCGAATACGACTCCATAGCGATCAATGGTAAACATTCAACTAACAAAATGACATGTCGGTGACAGAAAACAAAGATGGCGTCTATGTCAAATTGACATTTACTTTCCTGCGTCCCTATTGGACAACCCTTTATAATAGAAGCAGCTGAGAGAGATGAAACCCAGAATATATTTGTTTATGAGTAATATTGATGACTCTAGACACCTATGGTCCACTGTGAATCATATATTCAATAAGTCATCCTATTCAAAAAACAATATTAATGAAATAAAAACAAAAACAGGACAGAAAACAGACAATATTCAGCAAATATGTGATGAGTTCATAGAATTTTTCGCGAATATAGGAGGAAACTTAGCAAATAATATCAAACAAAATGCTGATATTAATCTGCATGAAACAAGACTGAATAATTCATTTGTATTAACTGAAGTAGACTATCAGGATGTTTTCAATGCCATTATGACTCTAAAAAATAAAAAAAGCCCTGGAGTTGACGAAATTAGAGCTGAACATCTAAAGATACTGGCCAAACAAATAACAGAACCACTTGCTTATATCATTAACAAATCCTTCCAATCTGGAGTATTTCCATCAGCTTTCAAGACAGCAATCATCATAACTATCTATAAATCTAATGATAATACGGACGTCACTAACTATCGACCTATTTCACTTATATCAAGTTTAGCTAAAGTTTTTGAGAAATTACTCCTTAATAAAATGATTAATTTTCTTAATAAATTCAAAATTCTAAATTCAAATCAATATGGTTTTATAGCGGGCAAATCTACAACAGATGGGGTATTAAGTGTAGTAGATGAAATAACCCAAAATATAGATGGAAAGGTAGCATCGATATGCGTATTTGTGGACTTACAAAAAGCGTTTGACACAGTTAACCACAATATACTTTTGGAAGTCTTAGAAAGAATAGGTTTTCGTGGAAAGATGTATACTTTAATGGAAAATTATTTATCAAATAGACCGCAATCAGTAAAATTATTAAGCTCGTATAGTAAAGAAATGTTTGTTAAATGTGGTGTTCCACAAGGTACAATTTTGGGTCCTCTGTTATTCAATATTTATTTAAACGATATATTCAAAATTAACAGTACTGGTAAAATAGTCAGTTTTGCAGACGATACTGCTATACTCTATAAAGGTAAGGATTGGAACGACTTAAAAGATATTATCCAAAATGACTTTTGGAAAATTATTCAGTGGTTTAATAACCTTAACAATGTACTTTACTAAAACTCATTTTTTACCAATTTCATCACTATCTAATCATCTACCAAAATATAACCACCTTCGGTTTAAGGTAAATGATAAAAATATAAAAATCAATAGAGTTAATGATACAAAATATTTAGAAATTTATCTAGATCCCCACTTGAGATGGGATGTACATATTTCTCACATACTAAAGAAAATTAGATTCATAGCATATAAAATAAAATTTCTAACCGGTATATTAACTGAATATTATCTACGAATAATATATCAAGCTTTAGTCGAGCCACACATAACATATGGTATAGTAGTGTGGGGTGCTGCATGCACGACATACTTTAACGATTTAGATGTACTTCAAAGAAGAATTTTAAAATCAATGTTAGGCAAATCAAAATTATACCCAACTAATGACTTATATAATGATGCACAAGTATATGATACTAAACAACTTTACTTCTTACATACCATCACTCATTATCACAAAACTATTAGTGAACACGACATAATTAAACATAATCATAAAACCAGATATAAATGACGCGCAAAAAATGTTCCTAAACCAAACAAATCCCTAATGAAACGATGTCACCTGTATATAGCTCCAAAATTGTACGAACATTTACCAAATAATTTAAAACAATTACGCAATACATTAGGCTTCAAAAAAAAATTAAAAAAATTTATTAACACGATTGTGAGAAATCAAATTAATAAAATAATCTCAAATATTACACAATAAATGCTCTACCATTCTTACCAATAATTTCTTTTTTCTCTCTATTTTATTATATTTTGCAATTCAACATACATATGATCCTTGCACAGGCGTTGTCCTCCTATGGATATATTATATTTATTTACTCGTTTCATGTTCCCTGTATTTTAGAGTAAATAAATATTATTATTATTATTATTATTATTCCGTCCACAAATGGATGGGCCATCCTGTATATAGGGAATATTTTGCCACGTCTCATTCATTGAAAATATGGAGCCAAAAACATTTTGATTAACGATTTATTGATTTTTCCAGGTATTTTTGGTTGGCAGTAACAGCGACGGTAGCAGGAATCCTGTGCGCATGCTCTCTATGGCGAAAACACCACCAAGGTTCACTATGCTGCCGCGAATCTAGCAGAGATGAAAGGATTTCCGAGCCTGATTCAAATGGATCATGTTATGCTCCTCCGCAGTACAGTAGATGCGGTAGTTTTCACCAGGCACCTCCGCCGTACTCAGAGGTACACCGTTTAATAAAATCAATTAAACATTTAATTAGGCCAAATAAAAAAATTAATTAAATAACACGTCTTTAAATTTAATGATTGCAAATGCCTATTTCCAGGTGGCTGCAAAACCCGATCTGTATCCACTTGTGATAAGTTACAACGCGGAACCCGTTATAAAGAACAGTAACGGTTCCACTGGCTACCTAATGGTTCAGTATTTTAGAAATTTTATTGTTAGACCTGTTGGTGAGTAACAAATCAAAAATATCTCTTAGTATGGTAACTGATTTGGACTTCTTCTAGGTACGTTATCAGCAACAAGCACAATAGATTCGCTAAGTTCCAGCTTTTTATGTAATGCGGCAAACGAAGTAAGTATAATGAAGCTTTAATAGTACATTACATACCTTGGTAAAGAAGTATACCATCAAGCACTTTTATATATTGAGGCAATATCGCTGAGGGAAGACTTTGTCAAGCATTGTAACGGCTTAGGTTCAATACTTTGGAAAGGTGAAAACTGTGCGAATACAGCCTTATACGAGGGTGGTCCCAGAAGTACCCGACCCAACGAAGAAAATAAAATTTTTGTAAAAAAATGTATTTATTTTTCAACAGAATCTCCTTTGAGCTCTATACACTTTTCCCAGCGATGTTGAATAAGTTTGATACCCTTTTTATAATAAGAACTGTCTTGCTCCTCAAGATAGCCATTAACTGCCGAAATCACTTCTTCATCGTTGGAAAATCTTTGACCACTGAGCCATTTTTTCAAGTTTGGAAACAGAAAATAATCAGACGGGGCTGAATCTGGTGAATAGGGTGCATGAGGTAGCAATTCAAACTTTAATTCGTTTATTTTGGCCATTGCAATAACGGATTTGTGAGCTGGTGCATTGTCTTGATGAAACAACACTTTCTTCTTAACTAAATGCGGCCGTTTTTGCTTGATCTCATCGCTCGAACATTGCAATACGTTCGCATAATACTCGCCGTTGATAGTTTTACCTCTTTCAAGATAGTCAATGAAAATTATCCCACGCGCATCCCAAAAAACCGACGCCATAACCTTGCCTGCAGATGAAACGATCTTCGCCTTCTTTGGAGCCGGTTGTCCCTTTTGAGTCCATTGTTTTGATTGTTCTTTTGTGTCGGGTGTGAAGTGTTGGACCCATGTTCCATCCAATGGTTATGAAATGATGCAAATATTCTGCTTTGTTGCAGTGAAACTTCGCTAAACACTCAATTGAAACATCTTCACGATCCTGTTTTTGCTCGATTGTGAGCAATCGCGGCACCCATCTTGCACACAGCTTTCTCATGTCCAAATTTCCGGATGAACCGCACTTTTTGAAATGCCTACTGTGTCTGCTAGCTCGCGATCATTCAGTACCGCTGTGTGAATTCTCTTCACAATTTCTGGAGTCGTCACCTCATTTGATCGACCACTGCGATGCTCGTCTTGGTAGCTCATACGGCGTCGTTTAAACTCTGCTACCCAATATTTTACGGTTGTAAACGAAGGAGCAGACTTACCCAGAGTAGAATCCAGTTCAGCTTTTATATTGGTTGGGCTGATGCCTTTGAAATAAAAGTATTGTACCGCATAACGATGACCAATTTTCTCCTTTTTCACAAATTCACTGAAAACGTTCATGGCTGTCAAACAAATACTAAACAACGTGGCGTCTTCAAACTTGACACATATGCTTTATAGGTTGCATACTTTCTAATACAATGATATTTTTCAAACAACTATCGCCATCTCTAGGTCAGGCCGGGTACTTCTGGGATCACTGTCGTACTTGTCAGCACTTTTATTACCCTTGACCAGATTTAAAATTATAGGGATTCATCATTTCAAGTGGCTTGATATTTTCAAAAGTTACTTGACTTGAATATAATTTTACATGAAACGTTAACGTTCGGTTCGATTTGATTTTCTTATTGTTCTACTTGACATGGGGCAGGCATATGGTTTAGCGCCGGCACTGTGTTGGGGAAAACAGCGCCATGGATGACCAGTTGCAGGGACCAGAAGCAATACAGGGTGTCCGCAAAGTTGGGGTTTTCCTTTACACGACGTGTAGATCTTGAAAATATAAGCAATTTTTCTTAGTACCATATAAACCAATGCCTTAACGGAACCGAGATAAAGGGCTCTGCAACATCAAAAATATCTGAATACCGTCCTGTAGCCGCGACATCACCCACTGGTACAAGGTCACTGGCTCAACCCGACGACAGAACTGGGTCGGGGTCAGTGTGTCAGGGCAGTATGAAACCTTCAACCGACGGTTACGGTCACGCGTGTAGAGGTAATCGCGTAGACGAGAATCCCTCAACAAGCACTAGAGACGTGGCTAGAGAAGTGCAAGTATCAAAAACTAAAGTGTGGCAAACGCTGCGTGAAGAGGGTCTGTATCCGTTTCACGTCCAACGTGTACAAGCCCTTCAACCTGACGATTTTCCAGCAAGAGTGCGGTTTTGTGAGTGATTGTTGCATCAACATGACAATAATCCGGACTTTTTGAAGTGCATATTGGTGACAGACGAATCTACGTTCACGCGTAATGGGGTGAATAACTTTCGCAACACTCATGTTTGGTCAGTAGAAAATCCGCACGCTGTCCGTCGGGCACATTTTCAACAAACATTTTCGGTGAATGTTTGGGCTGGCATGGTGAACAGTATGCTCATTGGACCATTTATTCTCCCAAATCGATTGGACGGGATGCAATACTTTTTACGCAACATTTTGCCTTCCTTGTTAGAAGATGTGCCATTAAGTGTAAGACAATCAATGTGGTTTCTGCGTCTGCTCGGTAGCGCATCAGCTGAGTTCATTTTCTGTTGGAGCGGTATGATTTCGGGCAGAGACGTACTTAGCCCTTCTCGTTTCACTACACATTACCTTTGTTATTTCAAGGGTAGTTGTTTCTGAAAAGCAAAACCCCAACTTTGCGGACACCCTGTATTGTAGAAGCAGAAGAACAGTGATATTATCTTCTATGTAATTTTGGGTTAAGTTGAAAAACGCTTTTTAGCGACACTTCGCCTTTTTATACTTTGTATAAATAAAGCTGGATTATTATTATCATTATTATCATTATTATTATTATTATTGTTATTATTATTATTTTCAGGCGAATTCGATGATACCGCCTCCATATTCGCACATGGGTAGTTTAGAAGAAATAACAACAGACTGTGGGCCACAGTCTCAAAATGAATCTCAACAGACTGACAACCGGTCGCCAAGTCAAACAGCGCAACAGCCTACTCCTAGTCCGGACCAGAGAACTATGTCTCGATCCGTCTCTTCGAACTCTCAACAGGAATATCAACAGGTGTGTTTGTGAAATTATGAACATGGAAAAGAGATATATGGCGGCTGTGCATATACAGGGTGTAAACGTTATGGTAGTCATTATTCAAATGGGTAATACGGGGGGTCAAAACAAGTGAAAAAGTTTCTATGATCCATGGTCCAAAAGTCAATAGATTTTTGCCTAAATAGCTTTATAGTTTACAAGTTTAAGTGCCTTATATCACCACAATCTTACTAATTTTTATAATCTAACCTAAAACGTTTTTAAATTGGGTAATTAACAAATAAATGACATTAAGTTTTTCTAAGTTAAGCCAAAATTTGTAGTCAGTAAGTAATCTTTCATCACTCTTATCGAACCGGCAATCGATCGCAAACAGTAACAGTGGTTAGTTATTGTTCGCGTACGTCGTCGTGTTTATTTACAATGTTCTCGAATCAAGAGTTCGCCGACATGTTGTTAGTTTACGGTGAAGCTCGTCAGATTCAAATCTTGCAACTCAAATTTATCGCAACAGATTTCGCCAACGGGTACACCTAGACAGAAGGACATTTGTGCAAGGGTACCAAAGACTTCGAGTTACAGGAAGTGTTCAGCCCACGAATATTCGCACTCGTGAAAGACAGGTTACTGTAGAGCAGGAGGAGCAAATTTGAAATATCGTGGAAATCAATGCAGATATCAGCACATCCTCAAAACTACTGAACTGAAGTATACTTTATCTGAAGTCACTTGAAACACTGTGAAATACCGGGTGCGTTTTATATATCTATATTTAACACGCTCTGTTGCTGCAAAAATCGCCAAATTTCGCAGCAATTATAAGATCAAAGGCAGTTTCACCGGTCCACGTGGAGTAAAGCACGCCTATGCGTGGACATAGCCAATGAGAAAGCGTGTATTTCAGAGCTCCGAACAAGTGCAGGTGGCTACTGAAAATTGAAACAGTTTAGCCAGTGCCGTGTAGCGGTGAATAAACGTGTTTTCTTTAGTCTGTCCGTGTTTTTTCATAGATTTTATTACTTTGTGTGTTTTTGACTTTTGAATACTCAGTTTACTTGTTGATTTAATTGTTGTGTTGATTGTTCTTGTGTGTCCTAAATATGGCTCTTTGGAGACCTTGGGAAAATGCTCCAAGCCACGAGGAGATGGTTGATGAACCTGTGCAGGCAGAATTCTTTCATAAAGATTTAGAGGAACGGACCCAAAGAGTAATCCTAAATATTTATGATTGTCTGAAAAACGAAAATCCAGATTCCTCGCAAAATCAAATTTTAAACAGAATTTGTATCCTGACAAAAATCAGTCGGTCTACCATTTATCGGGTTATAAAAAGGGGAGATGTAGTCAACCATTCCTTCCACAGAAAGCGCATAGGGCAAAAATCAAAAAGAATAGACGTGGGTTTTCAGGAAGATATTCGTCGTATAATATACGGATTTTATAAAGAAAATTTGGTGCCCACGTTGGAAATGATACGGGATAAATTAAAAGGTTATCCTGAAGATTTTTATAATTACAAATGCACTGCACTGTATTGTAAAACTGTGTGGTTTTCAATACAAAAAATTAGATAAAAGAATGGTGATTATGGAGTCGTCTCGAATCGTTGAATTGCGCCAAGAATTTTTGCACAAAGTTAAAATCTATAGAGAGCAGAAAAGAAATCTGATTTACCTGGATGAAACGTGGTATGATACCCATGATGTTGTGCAGTACGGCTGGGTTGACGACAGCAACAAGTGCATTTTAAATACACCATGCAACCATGGAAAACGAATCATTATTCTCCATGCTGGCAGTGAAAATGGATTTATACCTAATGCCTTGCTGTTATCTGCCAAAAATATCAAATAATCATGTGCCGACTATAATGAGGACATGACCTCCGACTTATTTGAAAAGTGGATAGAGCAGCAGTTAATACCAAACATTTCCCCAAATTCAGTGATTATTATGGACAATGCGCCATACCATTCCCGACAGAAAAACAAAATTCCGAATACAGGCACAAAAAACAAGACATTATTGATTTTATGAAGGATAAGGGAATGGAAATACCACAAAAATCAACCAAAGCCATATTATTGGATCTTATTAAAAGACAAAAATTTGAAAAAGAGTATGTTGTTGACAATCTGCTTCAGCAAAATGGCCATGAAGTATTACGTCTACCTCCCTATTACTGCATTTTTAACCCTATTTAGCTGGTCTGGGCTGCTTTAAAAAAAAAGTAAGAAAACATAATCAGACCCCTCAATTAAGTGAATCGCTATTGGCCACAATAAGAGATGCAGTATCTCATATTGCCGCCACAGACCTATGGAAGCAGTGTTCTAGGCATATTATTGAAAAAGAAAATGAATATTGTGTTTTGCCTCCTGTAAATCCCGTTGTAATTCCTCTACAAGATGACTCTAGCGACAGCTCCGAAGGCGAGGATGATATATAAATACCTATAATGTAAGTCTTTATATACCTTTTTATATACCTACCTGCTATGTAAATATTTGCCTATGTCAAACGTTGGAATTCTGTAATTTTTCCATTTCTTAACTTTCAGTCAACATAAATTAAACTCCCAATATAAGTATTTTTTATCCCAAATCAAAAAAATAAGAAGATAGTAAAATCCATTTATTGTGATATAAAAACATTATTATTATCGTTCTAAATAAATGACCGCACGCCTATGATACGTCATGAAATTACTAAGGACGCGCCGACCAAAGATTTTTATGCTATTTCAAGTGACTTCAGATAAAGTATACATTGATTTTATATCATTATAAAGGGAATTGAAAGACCTTTAAAATATACGTAATGTATCACTCGACCCCCCTTTCCATTTAAGATGTTAGGGTTGGTGTCACCCCCGCCCAGGGGGCTGCACGTGTTAACGTGATTTTTTGCCAAACTTGTGTCCCACTCGAAAACAAAATCGACGGGTCTGAGCGTTTTTCAAAAAAAAACTGAGCTGCCAGTAAATGCGTCTATTTCGTTTTCGATGTGCCACCCTGTGTATTATTCCAACTTATACGTTCATGAGTCATATGTGATCATGGAAGATGGAGGGGAGAGAGGTATGAAATTTTGTCTATAAAACATAGTTAAAAACATGTTATAATGATATATTAAGAAAATATGTTTCTGGCATAATGGACGTGTTGCTGGAATTCCGAGAATATGCTTGTACAGTTAACGTGTTAAAGCTCGTGATCGACGGGTTGGGGACCACTGCAATCACAAGTCATATAGTGGTACCTCTGTATTCTTTGTTTAAAACTGATGCCTTACAATAACAATTGTACTGTATATATAGTCATTAATATCTTCTTCATCTTCAGTAATGTTTCATCTAATAAAAATAATCGATTTTTAGGTGCTACATACAAGTTCCAGTGCTCACACGCCGCTTTGCAGTAGCCAGAGTGGAAATATCGTACTAGCACCGCTCCCAGGCGTTCGTTCTACTCCTGTTACGCCACGCCCCCACAATCCTGTCGTATCGATAACGAACAATCCTTGTTTTGGAACGGCGCAGCCTAATACACAGCCGCAAAAACTAGTAACAACAACGTCACAAGGTACCTTTCCATAAAGAAATTATTACGCAAAAAATATTGAGGGTGTTTACAGATTGTTGCAATAAAAAATTAAGGGCACATCTAGCACAGAAAGATATGAAAGAAGAAATTAAAAATAAACACTTTCGAAGATGAACATAAAAACGATTTTTTCTTAAAAGTCAACAGCGAGCGGTCAGATACTTAAGCCATTGCAGACACACAGATTTTCCAAAATAAGGATAATTTGCATGGGGATTTCAATACTTGTAGGAGATACATCTTAGGTTGAATTAGGAAAAAGCTGCGTTCTTTGGGGCATATTTACATGCCGTTGAGAAACTTGTAATAATTTCATGGCTTACTGCGGTATTTATATTGGATACCCCGTATATTCATACAGAGTGTTCATTTGATAACTTCCCACCACGGATTTATTGGAAATCTAGAAAATATTACTTTTTATTTATTGAAATAAAAAGTGATATTTTGGTACGTTTTTGTTTTCCAACTGAACAAATTAAGATAAATAATGATTTTTCTAATTTTCTCGATTACAAATCGAGTGATTTTAAAAAATCAAGCGTCAAAATAAAGGACATCAAAATACCTTTCAAACAAGCTATTATTCGATACCCCACGCTGTATAACTTTGGCACTTATAACCGAAACGATGGGGTGATAGTTTTTGTAAGAAATAAACTGCAATATAATCATGATACATTCACTTTCACCGATGGAATCAAAATTTTAAACATAATGATCCAAATTAACCATAACAAAATTGAGGTATCTGCAATTTATCGTCCGCCATGTTCAGAACTCCACGAGTTTTTAAAGAATATCGAATTTTTTTTTTCAAAATCAAAATAAAGTTCATTTAAAGCAACATATTTTCTTGGGAGATGTCAATATAAATATTTTGGACGATGATCCCATCACAAATGAATACTTGAATATCCTATCAAGTAACGGATTTCTGTGCTATATAAACCTACCTACAAGGTCCATCAGTGGCACATGTATAGATCACTGCTTTGTGAAAGACCTATCCAACAAAATTACTTGTATACCAATAATCCTAGAAAGCGATATTACTGACCACTTCTCCACTATTTTACTGATATCTTCAAATGAAAAACATTCTAACATCCCTACCGTTAGTAACAACCAGGAAAATTACAAATTTTTTGTCGACAATTCAAAACTAATATCAAATGTCAAACAAGAATCCTGGGAACAATTTAATTATACTCTATAAATAATATAGACAAAGCAACGGGACTGTTCATAGAGAAAATAAAAAAACTAATAGATATTAGTACCAATATAGTAATAATTAGTCACAAAGAGAAAAGCAGAAATGCCTGGATTACCAAATGATTAATAACATCGGCAATAGAAAAATAAAAACTATATAATGTAATGAAACTAACGCCAACTACAGAGAATACCGACTGCTACAACCAATATAAAAATAAATTTATAGAGCTTGTAAGGCAAACCAAACGAAAACATTACCTAAATAAATTGAATAATAACTTAAATGATCCTAAGCGGCTTTGGAAAACTATTGATGAGATTACTGGGAAAACAAAAGTTAAAGAGTGTGTCACTGAGTTAAATACAACATCGGGAACAGTATTAAAAATACTCAACAGATATGCGATGAATTTGTACAATTCTTTACTGACATAGGCGAAAATTTAGCAAGTAATATACAAGCAAATGTACAAAATACTCAGCCTCCAAAAAGAACTTTGAACTCATTTATTTTGGATAAAGTCGAGCAATGTGAAGTATACACCACTGTTATGTCCTTAAAAAATCGGAAAAGTCCTGGGTTCGATGGTATTAAAAGCGAGCATTTGAAAATTATAGCCGAGGACATAACAGAACCACTCACTTACCTAATCAACAAATGCTTTGAATCTGGCATATATCCCTCAATTTTAAAAAAAGGTAATATAATACCGATACATAAATCAGGAACAAAAACAGATGTTAACAACTATAGACCAATATCAATAATATCCAGTGTAGCAAAGGTTTTTGAAAAAGTTTTATCTACTAGAATGATTCGATACCTCACAAAATTCAAAATTTTAAGTGAAAATCAATATGGATTTACAGAAGGGAAGGCTACATCGGACGCAATAACTAAAATTGTAAATCAAATACATCAAAATATTGATAACAGAATCCCTTCAATCTGCATTTTTGTTGATTTAAAGAAAGCTTTCGAGACAGTTAATCACAAATTATTATTAGAAGCATTGGAGAGAATTGGTTTCAGAGGAAACGCGTACTCACTTGATCGAAAGTTATTTGTCAAATCGCCCACAATCTGTGCAGCTATCAGGATCATTTAGTAAAGAAATGTATATTAAGTGTGGTGTCCCACAAGGAACTGTCTTAGGTCCGCTGTTATTCAATATATATTTAAATGATATTTTCCAAATTAATTGTGTTGGCAAAATAACTAGTTTTGCAGATGATACTGCAATATTATATGAAGGCACTGACTGGTCTGATCTGAAAAATGTAATTGAAAATGATTTTATCAAAATTATTCGGTGGTTTAACAGTAGAAAATTAAGCATTAACTACTCTAAAACACATTTTTTACCATTTGGATCTTATGCTAGACATTGCCAAATTACACAAATTTCTCCTTCAATATTAATGATCAAAAAATGCAAATTAATAGAGTGCCCAATATAAAATACCTTGGAGTGGTCTTGGATCCTCACTTACGATGGGACATCCATGTCAAGTATATTTTAAAGAAAGTTAGATTTGTATCCTACAAAATTAAATACCTTGGGAATATATTGACAGAAAAATATCTTCGAACATTATACCTTGCACTGATTGAGCCTCATCTCACATATGGTATATTAGCATGGGGAGCTGCATGTTCCTCACATATCTATAATTTAGATGTTTTTCAAAAAAGTATTCTAAAAATGATATTTAAAAAACCGAAACTTTATCCCACTGAAAAATTATACGCAGATGTTCGAATGTATGATATAAGACAGCTTTATTTCTTACACAGTATCACTCACTACCATAAATTTGTAAACACCGACCAAAAAATTAAACATAATCATTATACCAGGTACAAAATTCGTGGCACAGTAGTTCCTCAACCGCATAAATCTATAATGCAGCGATCATATCTCTATTTAGCGCCTAAATTTTATGAAATTATACCTGAAGACTTAAAAGATTTACGTTTCGGAAATTGTTTCAAAAGAAATTTGAAAAAGTGGCTACATTCTATATATAGGACTGAAATTCATAAACTCATAAATACGAACATCAACTAAATACATAATCTACTGTAGCTAATTTTTGTCCTTTTTTGTCATTTGCATTCTACAGTTTCAACTTAAATTTATTGGTCCATGTACAGGCGATGCCTTCTATTGGGCCTGTTTTGATTTTATATTTATTTACTCATATTGTTTGTTATCTTTGTACATTGAGTGAATAAATATTATTATTATTATTATTATTATTATTATTTAAAATTTTTAAGGGAATGACCCTGGTGGGCCCATGGTGAAAGAGGGTGAGGTGCTTTTTGGTTTTTTCTTTTAATCAGTGGTTTTCGGTAAGTCCGTGGTGGGAAGTTTTCAAATGAAACCTTTTTCCACGAAATTATCTTAGGGATCATAAAACCTGGAATATTATCACGTCATTCAGAAACAGTAACCGTAATTTTGTAATCTACTAGCTAGTTACTACGAAAATATATTTGGCATGCATAGTTTTGTCTGGTAACCTAACCTTATTAATTTTGTCACAGATAGTAACACATCAGTGCATATACCAGTAACATCGCATAGAACGAAAAGAACGCTTCAAGAGCAACGAAGAAAGATATCCAAGGAAGACTCTGAGAGTCAAGAGGATGAAAATAACTTCTCGGATTTGCTCAATTTAAGCGTCTGTATGCCTGGAGTGATAGAGAGGATGGATACTGTCAATTCTCAGGTACAAAATATGTATGGTTTGGCAATTTTTATTTTTAACGTTTTTGAATTTTATCTCCGACGGCAAACTAAAAGCTTTTATCGCTGGTATAGTAATACCTTTGTTTCAACATTGAAGAACTTCATATTAGACCCTATAACGTTGTATTTTTTAAACGGACCACCCTGTATATTTTCAGTGAATATGATAGTCCTTTTTCTTTGATTTAAAATATACGTATACATATATGTACACAGTGGTTTTTGAAATTCAAACCTGTATCTAGATACAAGCCCAAGAATTTAACTTGCGTGACAAGGGAAATTTTTGAGCCATTAAAAGTGATATTTAATGCCATAGGTTTCTTCTGGATGTTGTGAAATTGGACAACTATTGTTTTTCAGAATTTAAATACAGCTGATTGCTGCTAAACTACTTGTGAATATTTTATATAACCTGAAGGTAGAACCCGGAAGTAGAACCGGAAAATAGAACCCGTGACCCGTCACAAAAATGGGGAACTGCTCCTCACAGGCGTGAGTCCCACTCAATTTTGCAGACGGTCCCCAGCTCGATGGTTCAGTGTAGTTATATCCAGGGTTAAGTGTCTAGGAGGTTGAGAAAAAAGGCTCCGAAAAAAACACCAAGAAGGGACGATTTCTGATAAAAATCCCACCACCCTAAAAATCCGCAACTCTCCGTGTGAAACTGAATCACAAAATCGGGCAGTGGGCCGCAGAATTCCTACACCAGAGCACCAAGTCACCTTCAGCTCTCGTATTAACGGTCGACAAATATTATAAAAAATGACCTCCAACAAGATGCAGAGTACAGAGATGCAGAGATTTTCTAACACAAAATTATTAGACCAGGAGAAGTGTTTTATTACTAAAAATAAAATCCGATATTTTCAAGAACGGGTATAAAATTATTTGTTCTAAATGAGAAAAACGTTGAACTAATTTACTTTATCTAGATGTAGTAAATTGTTAGTCGACCATAAAAATAAACTGTAACAATATAGAGTAAAGTGGGGGAATATGGCGACATAAATTTCAAAAGCTCATATTCTAACAAGCAACCAACCCAACCACCAGGAGAAGGCGGCATCTTAGAGCGTGTATATTTGAGTATGTGATGTGAAATGCTGGTTGACATAATCCCAGACTGAAGGATGGTTAGAAGCAAAAATGTCGAATGATACGCTATGGCCATATTACCCGTACCTATGGGTAATATAGCATCATGCTTTGGGGAATATGGTAACATGCTCTTCTCGTAAAAATTGAACAACTTTTTTTACGTTCGAAAAAATATATAATCTTTACAACATAACAATTTTTATTGAGTAATACAACGAGACTAATAAATCTCATATCTTCGGAGCTCTTGAGGTACTTGCTAGTTGATTAGTGGGACACAATCACTACAATATATGTCTGAAGGAGTACACATCTCGTGAACCCAATCATGGCATTTTAGACATTGCAACCAACCACATTTGGTACCTTTTTTATCAAATAGTATCCACCGCATTGGGTACAAAGTTCTGATTCATCATGTTCCAATTCTGAGTCCCCACTCTCTACTGCAGGCATATTACCCCACATCATACCTTATTACATCAAACAGTGGCAACACCTATTTTAGATACATTTAACCCTGTATCTGCCTTTGCGCGACACCTTATTGAAAAAATCTAATATTAACATAGGTTATCAGTTATGACTTATAGATGACATAAGATATTATGAAAGTTGAAAAATAACCTGGGAAAATGACTTCAGAATTAGTTGCTTGCAAGCAACATTGCGAGATAAAGTATAGGTTCTATTGTTACTTGCAAGCAACATTGACCGATAAAGGTAAGACACCATTGTTTCATCAATTGAGTATTGATTTTCAAACTGGAGTTTATAACAGTTCTTGCGTACAATTTCTAATAAGGGTCTAATTTTGAAATATCGATCCCTTGTCTGGTCTGTTATGTTAGTATTATCATTGAAATTGATAAACCGTCTTAGCTTCTGAAACCTCTTCAGAGGCATTATATTGATCAACTCTTGTACTAGCTGCCCAAAAATCTTCTATGGCAGGAAGTTTTATTACACCCATAATCAAGAGTATAGATAGAAAATCCTGACGGATTTGTATCAATATATTGCCCAAGTTGCTAAGTACTATAAAGATTTGTCTGATAGACTATTTTATCCATTAGATCAAATGAAAAAACCTTGTAAAACACTCAATGGGAACTGCAATGTTGTCAGGTTCAGGAAAGTCTGGTGAAGGTATGTTAGCAGAAACTATGTCAGCTTCAATCCAAGAATATGATTCAGTTATTCGTCTTTGTGGTGGTGGCGGCTCAGTTTCATCGTCACTTTCTTCGAATTCAGAATTACTTCCTGGAACCAGCACGTCAAGTCCTGAAGGCACTTCTTCTTCAGCTCATTTGTTTGGGAAATATTTTCTCCGTCACTGAAATCGTCGTCTGAGACATCGGAAATATGCGGATCTGTGGGGCTTACGGTCGGTGCCTTCTTTTTGCCGAAAAAACATGTACAGTATATTCAGATAAGAGATAGACCGGATGTAAACAAAAGGTTAGGGTGATTTTCACGCTAACGCCGCCGTCTCGACGTAAAACAGGAGCCCTCATTGGTCAATTCGCAATTAAATGCCTATGCCGAGCGGCAGAGCAGTCGTATCAAGGCAGAGTCACATTCAGGTTCAGACGTGTTACGTATGTCGTGTGCATCATTGCAATTTGATATTTCTTTGGACGTTTTCGTTTGTTATCTTATTAAGTTGTTGAGTTTGTCGTTGTTATTGTTATACCTTGTTATTGATTGTTATTGTTATCAACTGCTTGCGCAAAATGCCCAGTAGTACAGATACTGCCGATGAAGTTGTAAACTCCTGTAGTCCACCTAGGAAACGCTCTAAAAAAAGACACCTGAGTGCAGAAATGAAAGAGGTCATTTTGAATACATATAAGATCCAGCGCGAGGAGAACGAGGCATCAACCATCAAAGAAATTGTTGTGAAGGTTTCCCACAAAGTTGGGAAGTGTCGCGCATCAGTGTTTAATGTGTTAAGACAATACAAAAAAAATCACACCTTTCCTGAGCCAATGACCAGTAAACATCGCAAAAGTATTGTTAAATCATTGGATGAAGCTGAAAAGCATGCGATTAGGAGGAAAGTGCATGAATTCTTCTTTAGGAATGAAATACCTACTATAGATAAAGTACTGCAGGAGGTAAATGGAGATACAACGTTGCCAAATTTCAAACGATCAACTTTCCATGCGTTACTGAAGCATTTAAATTTCAAATGGAAAAAACGGGGTCGTAATAGTTTACTACTGGATAGAGAAGAAATTGTGCTATGGAGGAGGGATTATTAAACAAAAATTGGGAAATATAGAAATCAAAACAGGAAGATTTATTACCTTGATGAAACGTCGGTAAACGCAGGGCACACTACAAGTAAAGTATGGGTTGATGATTCTGTAACTTCATCCAGGAGGGCCTTTCTAGATGGACTGTCCACCGGATTAAAAAATCCAGCAGGTAAATACGAGTAATAGACAACAATCGGATGTTTTTCAAACCTTGGGAACAAGGTTCTAAACATTAATTCCAGGGGGCAGATAAAACATATTACAAGTAACAAAACTTTTATAACTTTCGATAAAATGCGTGGATGTTTTATTGTCATTTTCATTTGTTAGAGTTTTTTTAAGCCATGTTTTTATGTGTTTTCGATATTTCAATAATTTTTTAATATAATCTTAAAATATGTCGAATATTATAAACTTAAAAAAGTTACTAAGTTTTATATTGTGTACCGTTCCTAATATTTCTAATCATTTTAATTCATACTTTAAGCTTTATAAAGTTATAATTTGTTAATATTAATATTTGCGCGTATTTCAGGTTCCTGATCATTCATTTTTTAAAGGTTTATAACTTTAAATTAAATTGTGAAGCGCTGAGTAATCATACGACGTTCAATATTCTTTCTTTCAATATGACTAAATAATCCCAATTATAGCAATCTGATACTCATGTCTCAATGTTTTTTCGCTGAATGTGATGAAAACATTTGAAAAAGGTTCGCTTATTGAAATAAATCTACACCAGTTAGTACTTCGATTTCCAGGTAAAGGGAAAAGGCTCATTATCTGCCATATTGGCAGTGAGGATGGATTTGTTGTTGACGGTCTGTGGTGCTTTGAGTCTAAGAAAACTGGAGATTACCACGAGGAAATGAATGGCGAATCGTTTGAACAGTGGTTTTCGAAAATTTTACCGAACTTAGAGGAAAACGCAGTAATTGTGTTGGATAATGCGCCTTATCATTCTCGAAGAATGGAGAAGGTCCCAACAACGGCTTCAAGGAAAGTTGATGTTCAAAATTGGCTCCGCTCGAAAAATATCAACTTTGAAGAAGCAAAGCTGAAAGTACAATTATTAAGAATTGTCAAGGATCACAAGGCGGAATATCAAAAATACGCCATTGACGAAATGGCAGCAAGTCAAAATAAAACTGTGCTCCGTTTACCTCCATACCATTGCGAGCTCAATCCCATTGAGCTCATATGGGCAGAGGTTAAAAATTATATAGCTAAGCACAATACAACTTTTAAATTTTGTGACCTCAAAGAACTTTTCAAAGAAGCACTAGAATTAATAACAGCACAAAAATGGGAAAACTGTATTAAGCACGTGAAAGACAAAGTTGAAAAGAGAATGTGGGAACTGGACAATATTTTAGAGGAACAAGTCGAGCCATTCATTATTGACGTTGGTGCTTCAGGCATTAGCGATGATGAAAGCTCATCAAGCTCATCTTTCCAATAAAAGATGTCGTTCATCAAATTTGGTAAGTTATAAGTAATTATAAAGCTACTGTATTTTTTAATTAATTATTGACATTTTTGAACCCATTTTGGCAAAACCTATTCAAGAATCTACTTTCTGACAATGTTCAACCATGCACATTTTTTTACGTTTTGAACGTTTTAATTTGGTTACATATTTACCTAGAAATCAAAAAATATACTAATCAATATTCTAAAAGCAATTTTAAGAGATATACGATTATTTTTAATTTAAACGCCACTTTGAGATTATATTCGACTGTATTTCACCAAACATCAGGCGGCATCCGAAGCTGGAAATCGAAGCGAAAATTTTGAAACCCTTATGTATGTTTATATCATTATATATTTCTTACCCCACCCCCACATGATCCTATATCCATCACCAATCGTATACACATCGAATTGTGCTAATTTACTACAAAGTTACGCAAAGCAGCATCTACTATCTAAAATATGTACTGCGTGACTCTTAATACGTCCCTGCCGAATGTTACAGCGTTCGATGATCACGTGGTCTTGTTTATGTCCGGTCTATCTCTTATCTGAATATACTGTAGTGCTTATGGTTGGAAAATTATCCAGATCGGAAGACGTAATTATTCTGGCAATGTTCCTTGAGAGATACATACAAAACAAAGTCATTTTCCTGCCTTATTTTCTGATCTATCGCTTAAAAATAATCATAAACATAAAGACTCAACCTTCTTTTATACCAACCAAGGCTAATAGAACATAAAAACAGATGATTACTTACCATTTGCAACTAAAATCCCAACTACAGATTCATACGTGCACCAAACGTCTGTTACGCGGCAACCATATTGAAAATTTTGACTCAACTTTTTATAAACAGAGGTCGCTCATAATATTATTTCCGTTAATGAATAATGTAGCTTACGCGCAACACTGCCCAATCAGACCGTTAGAGCAGGGAGGACGAGAAATTGAGGTTTAAAGATGATGTTGCCTACAGGCTACAGCACCAGATATAGGGTTATAGGATTTTTCCGCCAAAAAAGCCTAGGTTAGGAATCGTATGTTCGCATACTCTTATTAAAATTGGATTAAAAACACTTACAACTTCTTTTACAACTGAGTATAACTTGACTTGAGGATATTTTTTCAACGATCCTTACCTTTCTACTGACTATATTCACTAAAAAACTAATTAATTTGATTTCTGAGGTATTCAAAGAAAATTGCTAGATTAGAAGAACGTGTTAAAATTGACACTGTTGCCAAATGTAGGCTTAAACAAAGGACAGCTCTCTATTCTGGGTCACCCTGTACATAGCAATCCGCAAAACTCATTACAATTGTGTTTGACTGTTCGCTGATTGGAGTTGATCGAATAGAGCATTTTCATTTCAGGAGTTTCAGTTCAGCGTCACGAACAGCATAGGTTCAGATATCAGCAGCCTAGCGAACTTGGGCTCTCCGGGCTCTCCACCTAGAGCAACGAGTCCTACCGCCGAAATGCGCCATTTGTTGGATAAGATTCAACAGCTTCCTCAGCAGAAGAGCCCACAGATGCATCCGGAAAAAGAAAAGGAAAAACCTATTAGTAGAGGCTGCTTCCATAAGATTAGAGCCAAGACGATGTATATGCCTTTGAACAGCGGGGATGGAGCTAAGAGTAGAAGCGGTAAGAAATTATTCAATTATTATCATTTATTATTGTCAATTAGCGTTGATAGGCAAATATAATGGCACCAAGTAGGTTGACTCCTCACTTCTTACGCAAGTCAGTTGTGGACAGACAGTCAAAGACGTATATGTAGGGGAAGTCCGGGAGACTTGCCCCTCCCAAGTTATTATTGGTGATAAAATTTGTTCCTACTTATATAAATCAATAAATTTTAAATGCCTTCGTAGCATATATTTTTAGGAACTTGTTTTATCATTTAAACCTTAAAAAATTAAGTCAGAAAAAAATATATAGTTTATTTATTTTTTTGAAAACATGGGTAACTCTCCCACATATGCGGGAGACTTGCCCATAGTCAGAAGGAGAGTTGCCCATCCACCTTATTTAATAAAAACAAATGTAAATAATAACTTTTGTATTCGAAAAACTCAAAAAATAAAACAAAAAACTTTACTTATTCAAGTACGAAACTAAATCTAAATCTTTGAAATCAGAATAAACAATATATAACTTTAATTGAAAAAACCAAAATAATTTTAAAAAAGTATGAACCTTCTGGGCCATCAGAAACGAAGTCTTCTCGATATTTGATACGAGGGAATATAAAAAAGGGTGGAATAAAGTTTCCAATTGCATTGACTGCAAAACAAACTGTCACCAAAGTGCCCCTATCTGATGCAGTAACTTGTCCAACCTACTTAGCTTTTTATTGGCCAATACCTTAGGACAATCCTGAACTGTAGTACATCCTACTTCATCACAGTTATAAATATTTTGTGGTTCAAACTTAAATTTTTCTCGTACAATCCTTAAGTTTTGAAAAAATCATGTACATTCTTCCGATTGAAGCTTGTAGATCGTGACAAGCTTGTGGCCTCCAGAGTTCTTAAACTAATTTCGGGATTTCTTTCTAAAAAACCGCGAAACCAATCCTTCCCTGCCATACTATTTTTTGACCAACTTTCTGGAATTTTTTTGGAATTCGAAACTGCAAACTCAAAAGCTAATTTCATTCCTTGTTTTCGAGTAAGTCCATAGTGCATTTTGCTGCAATTTAAAAAATATTCAACCAGAAGCTTCTCTTCTTGTATGGTGAATATTTGTGAAGTATTATTCTGGCCTTTAGTTTCTATTTTTTCAAATCTATTTTTATTGTTTTTGTAGCGTCTCAAAGTCCTCCGATCAATATCATATTTTGCAGAAGTTTTTCGAAGAATTCCTAGTTCATCTAGTGCATTTTTAAGAACATGCTTATCAAGTTTTTTGCGAGTGGAACCGTCTTTTGTTTTGTACTTAAATGGCATTGTACAGATCTGTAATAAAAAAATGCATCAACATTTACTAAAATTAATTAAAAACAAATCCCAATTTAGAATTACATCAGAAAGGGAGAGTTGCCCCTCTGGGCAAGTCTCCCTCCTGAGGTGTGGGCCAATCTCCCACACCTTTCTTTTTCAGGTTAGGTTCAATTTTCTTAAAAATCATGAATAGTGCACGTTTAACATTTATGGTGCATAAATCTACAATGTCTAATTAATATACCCACACAAGAATCTAAAACGTACCTTTTAATTTGCCCACAAAATCACGAAATTTGTAAAAGTATTAATTTTTGGTTTAAACGCAAAAAGCCACATGCCTCGGGTCAGATACAAAACAAACTGAGTAAAGTCAACTAGGATTTCGTAGACGCCTAGAAGCACTAGAGGGCGTCCCGTTTTCTCTCGTTTCAGATTATGGTGCTCAATTTTAAAGTAAATATATCACGGAGGGGCAAGTCTCCCACCTGGGCAAGTCTCCCGGATTCCCCCTATGTTACAATTAGCCATGCACATTATTTCCTTGTTCTATCGGTAGTTACTGACCATCTGGCAACGTTGTGCTGACTTCATTTATGCTGGGATTTCAAAATACATTGCACATTAACGTTATCATTTTTTATCTTCTACTGAATTTCATCTCTTGTGCTCCAGCATCAACTTTATTTTCTCTTATGGACGCCGTATTGAGTTTCTGTCAAAATATGTCATACACTGACACTGCCAAACCTTAGTTATTCCAGATAAACATAAATTCCTAGGTAGGCCTTGACATTATCAGATTTCATTTGTTTCGTATACGAGAAAGTAGTATGCGAAACAAATGAATATGTGATAATTTCAAGGCCTACATAGAAAATTTGGATTTTTTTGAAATAACTAAGGTTTGCATTATGTATGATACATTTTTGGAATCAAAATTAAGCACTATATTCAAATCCAATATGGCGTTTATAAGAAAAAATAGTTGATGTTTGAGGACAAGAGACGAAACGTCATATTGAAATTCTAATTATGCTTTCTTGTAGAGGAGAAAAAGTGACGATGATAATGTGCAATTTAAAGTCAGAAAAAAATTAAAACGATTTTGAAACTTTCTAAGCTGCATTTTGTTGATTACCTAAATACACAATTTTCCGAGATCTCAATGGTGAGGGTCGAATTTGACACACCCCTAACATCAAAAAGAATTCAGATACCTTTGGCTTGTTTGCCTATCTGGCTATCTATCTATGTCTGTCCGCTGATCTCTAGCGGCGGAGCTACCGGTGAAAATAAAAAAGTAAAAATTACCCAAACTTCGTTTTTTAATATTTGTGACAATCCTAAACATTTCCAGCATTATTTTCTGGGCAAGGGAAGCATAACATTATGATTTGGCATTAGTATATTTATACGCTAACCGAAGTAGTTCTACTTACCTATTAGATATAAAGGGTTGTCCAATAGGGACGCAGGAAAGTAAACGTCAATTTGACATAGGCGCCATCTTTGTTTCCTGTCACCGACATGTCATTTTGTTAGTTGAATGTTTACCATTGATCGCTATGGAGTCGTATTCGATTGAAGACCGCATTAAAGTTATTCAAGGGCACTACAAAAATGGTGCAAAAATAAAAAACACGTTTCGCGCGCTTCATGAACATTTCGGTCGCAACAACCGCCCAAACGAAACAACCATCGGTCGTCTGGTGCGTAAATTCGAGGCAACAGGTTCTGTGGCAAATCTGCCAGGCTCTGGCCGGCCAAGGAGCGTTCGCACACCGGAAAATATTGCTGTTGTGAAGGAGTGTGTGAGAGACGATCCGAAACAATCAACAACGCAAGAATTGGGCATTTCGAGAACCAGTTTGCTCCGCATTCTCCACAAGGATTTGAAGGAATGGGTATGGACGATGTTTATTTCCAACAAGACGGTGCAACATGCCACACAACCAACGTTAATATCCATCGATTGCAGTCCTTCTTCGGTGATCGCGTGATTTCGCGCAGAGAAAATGTGTCATGGCCACCAAGATCGTGCGATTTGACTCCCTTGGACTTCTTTTTATGGGAATATTTGAAAAGCAAAGTCTACATCAACAAACCAGCCATCCTCCAAGAACTCAAAAACAACACATTGCCGAGATAAATGCCATAGAACCGACCATGTTGCAAAATTTCATTGAAAATTTCGACCATCGCGTGGACGTCTGTAAATCCAGTCGTGGTGAACATTTGAGCGATATTAAACTAAACTCAAAGTAATCTTCAAGGTCTTGTAAAGCTAGGTTTCAGCTTTAATTTATATACGATATACGATCTCAAAATGCATTTTTTTTACTTGTTTTTGAATAATCCCTCACGGTAACCCATATTAAATAAATATGTTTGTACATTTTTCTTTAGTTGATTATTTTTTTTGTTCGAACAGTTTTTTTCAGTTTTTCTGAATCACTCCGAATGAAAAAGGTTTTCATTAACTTTTCTCTAAAGAGAATAATGTCTGAAAATCCTTAAAAATGGGTAAAAAGTCTAAACCTTGCTTTACAAGACCCCAAAGAGTATTTTGAGATTACTTCATTTCAAAGCGATTTTTAACTTATATTTGCCCTTTAGACCGAAAATGTATTTTTTATATACTCGTCGAATACCTCGAAAATAGACGATAAACCTGAGCTGGCAGCTACCAAGGTCCACTCATCGCATATGAGATCGCAGCGTTGCCGAATGGACAGTGCTCACGGTAGGACAGACAGATCTCTTTGACGTGATCCATATAATTCCTTCGTTATACATGTTCACGGCTAGCTTTTTTCTAAGTGCGCTGCGTTCAACTTACGGAGTCAACCTACTTGACGCGACTTCACTGGTAAACAATATTGTCTCTTCCAGTATTTTCTCGCAGCTGGCTTTCGCGCTCAGCACCCTGCACACCCTCTGGAGCTCCGCCTCCCTCTTTCCCCGCCCACCACCACCAATACCACAAGGCAGGCACATCCAAGCCCGCAATGGGCGGAGCTAAAAGCAACTCGCGCACCAACCTGAAAGCGCGGAACATGAAGGGCGGGGATAGCAGCCCGCTGTTGCTCAGAGAACACGCCGAAGAGAGCGAAGAGGAGGCGCGGCAAAGAGACGAACGGTTGTGATCGGACGAAGGCAATCGGAAGGAGGAGCTAACAGTTAGGGGGGCAGCGTTGCTGAAGTATATCGGAAATAGTATAGCGAGGGCGGGTATAAACGCGAGTAATGCTAGTAAAGATGAAGTTGGAGATGATGAAATGATGTTTCAATAAATGGTGTGAGATTATGGTGGCTTTCTAAGTGATTGAGTGTAGCAAGACTTGATATAAAATTGGTTCTATGTTACCATTCATCCCTTTGCTTTTGGGATATGGTAATACCGCGTACAAGTACAAGTAAGGCACCGGCGCCTGCAGGGGGAGCAGAGGGGCTCAGTCCGGTTGATTTGTTGCACAATTTTTAGGATCTTTTAGTTCTGGCTTCCCTTTGGAAAATTTGCTACCCCGCTTTTCGAAATGTTTGTGAGCAGGTACGTCTCAAAAGAAAGCTATCTTTTGCCGATGATCGCCCCCCTGCGGGCGCCCATGCAGTTCGGTTACTTGCTTAAGATTTTCTAATGGTCACTGGATGTTACCTTGGATATGTTACTCTTTCAATTCCCTCTTAGGTGCTCTTAATAAATTCTGATTCATGAAAAATTATCATATTGATAAGGTCTTCATGACACAAAGAGGTAAACATTATTTTTTGCAATTTAACGTTCAACACAGTTGTAAATGCCTTTTTGGCGCTGTGATAGCACAGTACGTTTTAGATTCGTTTATGGTAGAATTCTGAGAGTATCCGATATTTCGCATTTCAATTTCCTTTACTATATGAAACGCCAAATCAAAACAGATATTAATTTAATAGCATACAGACAATAACAAACAAAACTAAACAAGTTTACATGTTGCATAATGGTACTATCAAGAAGCTTTTCAGCTGCATTTTAGTTTGCTTGCTTTCTCACCGCTTGCACAACTAACATGCTGCTTTTGACGAATTATTATTGTAGATTATTATTTTCCCGTGTACAGAATACGTATAGGGAGTGTTCCATAGACAAATTAAATTCAATATACAGAAATAAGTAGTGAATATTGTAAATGAGCATAAAATATATTTTGCGCTGTGACAATCCTATAATTTTAATTTGAAAATTTTTTGCAGTATTATTTGTTGCGTTTATTAGATATTTTCAAAAATTTGAGGCTATATAGATCCACCTTTTGATGTGAAGTTTGTCTTGAGTGGAACACACCGTATACCGCAAAATGGTAAAACTAAAGTGCTTTATAGCCCTGGTATGATGTATGATCCAGGAAAAAACAAAAAACCCCGAAGTGCGGTAAGTCCTGAAATATCTGGATTTGCTTCACTATATACACAAATGAGTTTTTCTATTTTGAACTTGGATGATTTGTAAACGTAACACAGCACATATATAAGGACTGACTTGACTTAGAGCACCTTGTTTACGTAATTCTCTAAACGATATTTGTAAATCATTTTTCCCACATCATACATTTCATCTTCGTCTTACTAGTTATTAACAGATAATTGCGACAGATTCAAAATTATAATTTAACCTCAAGAAAGGAATTATATCTATTTTTGAACACGGCTATTCAACATTCATAGTGATGAAGCGACATTATGTGTTTTGATAGGTAAGCTTGAACATTTCTTACTGCGTAGGTACTTTTCGGTTCATTTTTTTCTTGAGGCATAAAAGGTTAAACATGAGCCCGTCGCAGTTATCGAGAACAAAGTAATCATACTAAGCGATGTTAACGAATTAAATTTAAATACATAGTCACTATTTTTTTATAAATGTGAGTGTTTTGCTGCTTAGATGAAGAGGGAATTAGGATGAGATTACATTGAGGTTACTGAAATCACTAGCATCCAGGGTATTCCAAAATAGCTAGTCAGTCTCTTGGAGCTATGCAGAATACAAAAATAACACCACGCACATCTTGGTGTACAAGGACAACAAATAGCTCCAAAAATGTTACTTTTGAGCCATTATTGTACAGGGTGTAAAATATATCTCGTTATGTTCAAAATGTTATCTATAGACATCGTCATTCAAGGCGCCATCTGGTTATTAAGCTGTCAAAATTGCGTTGAATTGTGCCAGTGTCGTTCGGAAATTATTTGAGAGAAACGGATATCCGGTGCATCCGCAGATGAGCTCGCTATGACATCTTTTATAGGTACCATCGGCTGTACCTTTGATCCGGGGGGTCATGACTCATGACCCCCTGGGCGAATCTAGTTGGACCACTAATATTTGACTTTCGAATCTCCTTGATAAATATAATAAAATAAAGACTTTTTGCAAATAAAAATATATAAACAGGGGAAAAGTCATCAGATTTGGTGAAAAATCACTACACTTGGCAACCCTGATCAATTTCGTAGAACATCGGTGATGGCGTGGTAATAACAAGGATTCGTAATTCTGGTTGCCTATATGTTGACGGGTTAACATGTATTTATTAACTGTAGATCCTGACAGTCAAGCTACTGCTGATGCCCCTTTTTGTATTCTACACGTATCCGAGAGATTAACATGTTATTTTGGAGAACCTTTTTTAAAGTGAACCTTTCTACGGACCTAATTAAAGAAAGCTCGCAAAGGAGCTGAATACAATTTCATCCTAGCAAACCTCTGTCCTCTACTCCCTCTTTGTGCATTTGTTGAAAAATTGTAAACTGTTAAACCTTCGCAAGTATTGATGTTAGATATGACGTGTGTTTCGTGAATTATTATTATACTGCTATTATTGATTTTTACAATGGCCAACACAGTTTTGAATATTTTAATTCGGATATATAATTACCACTTTTAATGCTTGAAGTTTTTACTAGCATATGTTACTGAATATTATCCGTTAACTATAAAATAGTATAGTACAGAAAGATTCGACATATCTTTAAACATCATCGCTAAATATTATGTGGAAAACAGACTAAAACATTTTGGCTGGCCTTGAAGTTTTGATTATTGCTGTGATATCGTTATTCAGAAATTAAAAGTATTTAACACTGTGATAGCCATTGCTAATACTGTAAAAACTTATTCGATGTAGTGATATGAAGGCCAAAGTATTGAAAACGATATTAATATATTTATTATCTGAATATTTGTTAGACTGTGAGTTTGTTCGTTTGTTTGTCTTGTGTATATAGAACTGTTTTGTTGATAAGTTTCATTTGAGCTGTTTTAGGAACGTGAACGTTTACACAGAGGTAATGGAGATGTATTCCTTTCAGTTTTCATAAAATTTTCGCACTGTATAAGCATCCTTACACATTTAATAATTCCTCTAAATGTGCAAAAGTATTTCACTAAAGACGACTTTATCCTGAGAAGACTATTTATTTTTATTTGTTAATTTGTTCCAAAAAAGACGCTGAGCGATTCTGAACTTACAAACCATCATTTAACTTTTGAAAAACTTAAAGCGAGTATCAATAGCCGCCACTTAAGTGTCGAGCGTCAGACATCTGTCATTTGACAGGTATAGGGATGTTCCGATCCACCAAAAGTATCGATTCGTATCGTTTTAGGAAATATGAATACTCTAAAATATCAGAATGAAAATATCGATACCACAAGTATCACTAATAAAAGTAGATAAAAAATACCAGGGAATAATGTTTTGTTTTAAACTATAATGCTTAATCAATCATTACTATATCACTGTCTGTCATGTGTGTGTAATTCCCCAAAATAGAGTCCAGGTCCGGAATCCAAAATAAAGTATGTGAAGTCGTGAAGTGAGTAGCACCAGCGGAAGGAAACAAAGAACAAAAGCAATCTGAAGTAAATCACTCTTTCTGACACAGCCGGATCGAATCGATACTCGTGGAATGTATCGATACACCCAAGTATCGTTTATAAAAATATCGATCCAAAATATCGGGTATCAGAAGCAAAAGTATCGATTCTTCTAAAAATCGGATCGTATTCGAACATCCCTAGACAGGTGTCACATTTGTCATCTAAATCGGAAGGATTCTTCTTTTGAGGTTTGCTAACATTTTCTGAATTCTGGTTTTTGGACTAATTTTATGCTAAATTAGTGACACTCATGCTGCGAAAACCAATTTTCAATTTACATCGTTTCTAAATTAGTTCAGAATCACTCTTGGAACAAATCGCATAGTATCTGCATATACCTCCAGGATAATAAATTTTGCAGAGCCTAAACGGAAAATAATGTCATAGCGTATTTTTACGTCGCCTACACAGAGATTCTAAACTTAGGTAGGTGTAACGATAGGTACTAACAGTTTGAATTTGAAAATGTATGTATGTAATTATTCGCATCAAGCAGTATTTTTATATGTCACCAAGAAGCAAAACGAGTATTGTTAAATGTGAAATCTGTACTTAACTGGTTAATTCAGGGGACTAGATGTCCTCGTATAAATATGCTGTTATTTTCTATTAGTGACAAAAGTGTGACAGCTAACAAGTTCATCTCTAAAAAAAATCCGAAGCTTACGTGCAGTGTTGCCGAACCGAAGAAGACGAAATCGGTAGATAGTATCATTGGAATTCGGTAGATTCAATGACAAAATCAGTAGGAGGAAAAATCAGGGCCAATGCAAGATCAATAGTGGATCAAGGCCTTTGCTTCACGCAGCGCCGTCTTTGAAAAAAAACATGTTTTTGAATTTTGCGCGCACACATAACATCCCTGAATTTGAAACTTCATCATCTGACATTTTAATTTAATATTTCATTATAAAAAACAGATGAGGGTTTCCTTTTATTGCTTGTTCGGTGATGAGGTACCTCTTGTACGCACAAAAACCAATACAGGGAATGCGATTTAAGGGATGTGTACTCATATATAGCCTGAATTATGTAATTTCGGTAAATAACATCTCATTTCTGAGGAAATATGGAAATGTAGGTTCGGCAACATTGCTTAGATGTCTAGAGCAGCCCATAAGCTGCACGTGCCATCTGTGGAGGAATAGCGAAACTTCAGTTTTGTTGTCATCTTGTCTAAGCAATTGCAACCCATGTCGATGTTGCAAGCATGGTAATAGGAAGGCATTTATATCATCTTTTGCGTTTACTGATACTTTGCTTTTCGCACAGAAACAGAAAACGATAAAATAAAATTTATTCTACCAATTTTATGGACTGGTGTCACAGCTTTTCCATGCATTACGGTTTCATTCTCAGTCGAAGCATTGACATTTGTCTATCTACCTAATAAAAACAAGGCTTCAAATGATGTTAACGGCCTAAGTCCAGAATCTAGCCATGTAGTCTGTTCTTTGAGCTATTTTCTTCAAATTAAGTAGGATTCTTTCCCCTGTTTGCTTCGAATTTCTCTGAAAAACCTTTATTGTTAGTGACTTTTCCCGATTTGTACTCATGTGATTTATTGTTATGTAAATAAACCGATTATATTTGAAAAATTGTTTGATTGAATTTTCTAGGATTTATTTTTGTCAGGTTATAGCTTTAAGCATTGATTCACATATTCTACCTGAAAATAGTCAACCATGTATTTCGACGTCAAAAAAAATTATTCGAGACAGATATGCTTCTATTCTTCGTAATAATTAGAAATCTTTTTTTAACAGGCTAATTTATAAATGACACTGTTGCCACTTATGTGATCATATATGCTCATATACAGTTTTATTCACGAAACAATTCATTTCGCCCCAAACAAAAAAATATATCAAGAACGATCTTTAAAAACGATCTGCATGCACTCTCAAAGCCTCGGTAGCAGTTTAAAGACTCACCGTAAATCAAAATAATATGGACATCTCATGCATTACGGTTTCATTCTTAGTCGAAGCATTGACATTTGTCTATCTACCTAATAAAAACAAGGCTACAAATGATGTTAACGGCCTAAGTCCAGAATCTAGCCATGTAGTCTGTTCTTTGAGCTATTTTCTTCAAATTAAGTAGGATTCTTTCCCCTGTTTGCTTCGAATTTCTCTGAAAAACCTTTATTGTTAGTGACTTTTCCCGATTTGTACTCATGTGATTTATTGTTATGTAAATAAACCGATTATATTTGAAAAATTGTTTGATTGAATTTTCTAGGATTTATTTTTGTCAGGTTATAGCTTTAAGCATTGATTCACATATTCTACCTGAAAATAGTCAACCATGTATTTCGACGTCAAAAAAAATTATTCGAGACAGATATGCTTCTATTCTTCGTAATAATTAGAAATCTTTTTTAACAGGCTAATTTATAGATGACACTGTTGCCACTTATGTGATCATATATGCTCATATACAGTTTTATTCACGAAACAATTCATTTCGCCCCAAACAAAAAAATATATCAAGAACGATCTTTAAAAACGATCTGCATGCATTCTTAAAGCCTCGGTAGCATTTTAAAGACTCACCGTAAATCAAAATAATATGGACATCTCCGATATTGTTTCAAGAGTGTGCTATTTTTTTTGAAACGATCTGTGAAGGTTATGTTGTCAAACGCGGTCATTGCCTGGGTTGTGTACTGATCCGCCTCGTAAGAGTTGAAGTTATAGATAATAAAGTAACACAGTGCATACAAAAAGCTTTTCCGATATATTTTGCTAATTGACTTAGAATCTGAAGGCTCATTAGTTTGTTTACTACTTACTGTACACTGCTTTTAAAGAAATTCGCCGGAGGTCGCTTACGTAATTGCTAGTCGTCAATAAGCAAATAGCCGTGAAAATTCATTAGCTGGCAACAGCGCCATAAAATGTAGCTCCGGTTACCTCGGACTAGTCACACCACAGAACGGTGTGCCTTAGTGATGGGAAAACGCTTATTCGATATTACAACGCAATGCTTAGAAATTGGTAGATTACGCTCTCGCTTTAAGGAACATCTGGGCTTCATCGTCGGCGCCGATAGATGTCGCTGAGATGCCGCTTATCGTCTATAACTTTAATTAATTACAACTACTTCAGTACCTGTTAGCCTGTTACTGTAAATACAGGAGACAGGAGGGTGAAGGGAACGGAATTAATTTTTAATTTCTGT